ATGTCAGTCGTGTCAGTCGAGTGTTTGAAATAAATCATTCTGTGAGATGATGTGGCTTCTTAAACAGAATAACATATTTCTTCTGTTTATTCAGCTGCAGCGATAGGCATTTTCTGGGTTTCTTCTGCGAGGCATATTTGGAGTTTCAGCGCGAGAGCGCCCTCTGACCTTTGGATGGAGATTTACTGCTGATCACAGAACCGTGCTTCACTGAAAGATACGCATGACAATGGCAGCTTCTGTCGAAATCGCGATCTCGATTCCATTTCGATTTATCATGCAGCCCTAGACCCTACCCTGTTTATCTCGCCTCTGATCATTTGCTGCTTGCCTTGATCTATTGCCTGTGTTGGATTATTCTCTTGCCTTGCTCTCTGGACACTGTTTGCTGGTTTATGATCTTTGCCTGTCTGACTTCGCTCTTTGTTTGAATAAAAGGCTGCAATTGGATCCGACCTTGCCTACACGACTCTCCTTGTTACAACAATACAATTAAGTTACATTTAGCTTATTTTACTAAAAAATATATATAATTTTCGGTAAGAAAATATGCAATATAATTTACATTTAGTCATTTAGCTGACACTTTTATCCAAAGCGACTTACAAATGAGGACAATAAAATCAGTCAAAACTAACAAAAGAGCAACAATATATATGTGCAAATGACAAGTCTCGGTTAGCCTAATGCAGTGCACGTAGCAAGGTGTGTATATATACATTATACACACACACACACACACACACAAAGAAAAACAAGTAGATAGAATAGAAAAAAATAGTAAGCTAATGTTTTTTTTTTTTTTATAAAAAAAAGATAAATATAGATAAAGTAGAATTAAAATAGAATGGATAGTACTAGAGTTAGAGGGTCAAATAAAGGTGGAACAGATGTGTTTTTAGTCGTTTCTTGAATATGGCTAAGGAATGAGTTGGGCAGGTCATTCCACCAGGAGGGAACAGTTAATGAAAAAGTCTGTGAAAGTGATTTTGTGCCTCTAATAATAAAGTATTGATCATTATTATTGTGCATACGTTTTGGGGTGGGCTAGCAATGCAATTCATTCTGGGGTAATTTTAATTTTTATGTAGTAATACTCACATTTTTCGAGTAAAAAATAAACAGTCTTCTCCAAAGACGAGATCTTCGAGCAGCTGCACGACATCTCCTTTGTGCAGACATTATCGCAAACATTTTGCTAACGTTCAGGAAAACCATACTAGGTGGTGTGGTTGTCGAGCTACTGATGAAATCAGGTGTTAGTGCACCTGTCGGTCATATCTTTTAAGTTGTTGCACTTGTTATAGCGTCGTAGGTCACATGATAACGTCAGCATGGCAGATGATGTCTGGATTGCATTTATAGCTAACTCGATCTGGCTGTAGAGTACGTACTCTTTTAGTGCTCTTATGTAAGTACTTATTGAAATTAAATACCTACTCATTGAATATGCCGTTTCAGATACAGCCACTGAATAAAAGAAGCGAAAAGAGTAGTGACAGGAAGTAGTGATGTGGTGACGTGGAGTGAGTGCTGCTAACTATAGACCCGCCTCAGAGTGAGTCAAGTTTAGTTGAATTGGATGCACACTAGTTTGCTAAGTGAGGAGTAATAACGCCAAAACAGGAATTAATTGCTGCACTATCGGATTTTCCTGACACAGACAGGGCCTGTTCACCGAGCAGACTGTGGAGCATTGCCTCTTCCTGGTATGGATGATGGAGAGTTGTCTATTCCTAGAGTTTCCAAGATCGTCTGCCGGGCTTGTCTGTCGTGTATTTCCGACGCCACCTGCAGTGTGTTGCCGGATCACATGCTGGCTTCCTACCCCAAGGCGTGCTCCTCATTCATCGGAAAAAGAGGGAGTATCCACTGCAATTTCAGCCCTCCTCTCTCCGATTTGTACGGCAGAATGTGCAGATTCCGACGATTCACTGCAGGTATTGTTAAAAACAACGCACTTGTCTTTGACTTCCCACAAGCTTCCCTACGCAGTCGACGGGCAACGTTCACACCCAGTTCCACACAAAAACACACGCACTTACACATATAAAACTAACAAACATACAGTACATGACTTGAAGAGTTTTTCTTGTCTGTGTGTGTGTGTGTGTGTGTGTATATATATATATATATATGATTATTGAAACTGAAAGCTAATACTTTTGTACTTCCTTGATTTTGATTTTGATTTTTTTTTTTACTAACTTTTTTCCCCATGAACTAATATTTTGACACACACTACATTAAAGAACTCTGGTTAATTTGTGAACAGTATTTGATTCTTTGTGAAAAAAAATTTGAATATTTATTTATTGTAAGTTAATATTTCCATTATGATTTCACAGCAATATTTTTGAGTAGTATGATTCTTTGATGCTAGTTCCTATTACTTTTTTTTGTTTGTTTAAACTTGTTTGTGTGTAACTGGTGGTTTGAGTTATCCTGGGTTGAATTTTTAACTTAAATTACTTTGTTTGGCCTTCCAAAAGAGGACACGACTAGAAATCAGTGGTTAAGCTGTATTTACAGCACTGTTCCAGAACAGTTCAACACAAATATTCAGATGTGTCCTGCGCATTTTATGGAGGATGAGGACTGTTTCCTGAACCAATAGCCTACAATGCGTCTGTGGCACAAAGGCTGTTTCTATAAAGTTGGGCAGTTCCAACTTTGGAAGGACAGTCTGGCGCTTCTGACTCACAGCCTGTAAGTACGTTTTTTATATTTAAATAATTTGCCACTGATGATTCAAACGTGAGTTTTGAGCAGTGTAGAGTAGGCTTGTTGTTTGTTGTTTCTCCGATCACAAATGCAGACATGGTTTAATGTTTACGCAGCGCGATACGCAAGCACTGGATAGCTGGCCAATCAGAGCACACCTCACTTTTTTTAGAACGATGAGCTTTGTAAAAATCAACACGTTTCAGAAAGGCGGGGCATAGAGGAGAAACAATAATGTACATATGGAAAATAATGTGTTTTTTTAACCTTAAACATGTTGCATTACACCAAATAATGTTCGTTTTAGCAGCGTCATATGACCCCTTTAAATTCTATTTGGTAGATTAAATTCTGCCTGGCGCCCGAATTGGTAATTATTATATAGTTGTCACACCTTGTTACAGACCAGAGACACGGAGAGCTTCAACAATAGATTTATTAAAAACAAAGATCCAAACAGGAAATAAACCAATGCCACTACACATAGATGAGACCAGACCATCTTGGGGAGAACATAGAAAGTATATATACTGTCCTGGTGATGAAAAGATCGCTGGCAGGTGAGGGTAATGGAGGCCATGGAGGTGCCGGGAGCTCGGGCGGCCATGGAGGTGCCGGGAGCTCGAGCGGCCATGGAGGTGCCGGGAGCGCAGGAGGCCCTGGAGACTCATGAAACACTGGAGATACAGGAGGCCCTGGAGACTCATGAAACATAGGGATAAGCCCTGGAGTGAGAATGGGCTCCAGGCTGAGCTCCTGTAGAGGAGCAGGGAACATTGGAGGGCGCTCTGGAAGTGCAGTTACTGGGGGTCGCTCTGGAGGAGCGGACACTTGGAGGCGCTCTGGAGGAGCCGACATTAGAGCAGGAGCCGGCACTGGAGATGAGGAGCTGACTGATGAAGGAGGGTTGGGAGAACCTTTTAAGACTCAGGATACGTAGGAGAGCTAGGCGAGACCAGCGGAAACAAGAGCTAGGCTCCTGATTGAGCTCTGAGAAGTGAGTGGACTCCTGGTTGAGCTCTGTGAAGTGAACGGGCTCCTGGTTGAGCTCTGTGAAGTGAGCGGGCTCCTGGTTGAGCTCTGTGAAGTGAGCGGGCTCCTGGCTGAGCTCTGGAGAGTATTCGGGAGTGGGCTCCTGGTTAAACTCTGGGGAGCATTCGGGAGCGGACTCTGGGGAGCATTCTGGAGCAGAGCAGCTTGGAAACTCCGGAGCGGAGACTAGGAATATGGAGGATTCAGGCTTGGGTTTGGGGTGAGCTGTAGAGATCCACACGTCACGGGATGGAACTGGAAAGAAATCACGTGAGTCTTCATCCACTTCTCCAACACAGAAACTGGAACCTATTACTTTGAGGAGTCGATTAATGAAATCCACCAGAGAAAATTAATGAACATCCGGAAGCATGAGGATGATTAGCAGATTGTCATCCAGTCCATTCAACAAAACGTGATTCAGAACAGAATCGCTCCAACTCACCTGATGGACATGCTCTACAAACACCTCCACATAACTCTCCAGAGGACGGCCGTCTTGGCAGAGATGGAGAAGTAAATACTCCTCTGGACAGCCATTGTTGTAATCCATATTGTGGGTCTGGTCTTCTGTCACAGCTTGCTACAGACCAGAGACACGGAGAGCTTCAACAATAGAAGATTTATTAAAACAACGATCCAAACAGGAAATAAACCAAATGCCACTACACATAGACGAGACTAGACCATCTTGGGGAGAACATAGAAAGTATTTATAATGTCCTGGTGATGAAAAGATCGCTGGCAGGTGAGGGTAATTGATGACAAGGGACAGGTGAGGGAGTGTGAAGGATTGTGGGTAATGGAGTCCATGGGGAAAAACACAGGAGAACCAGGCAGGGGAACAGACGGGACCATGACAGTAGTATTGTGAGGATTCATTTTCAGTTAAAATTCCTATTGTTAGGGTGTGTCACCCTTTTGTGTACGATAAAGTATGGCTATGACCGCTTCACCGCATCACTGTGAAACAGCAACATAATCAATATACTGTCAAAACTGTTCTGTGTACTAAGTATATGTAATGTGGGTTTTGTTTCTTGTTCATGGTTTTCATGTCTTTTATTTTGCCTTGTCATGATTACTGTCTAGTCATGTGATTCCCTTGCCCTCATGTTATCCTGCTATTGGTTCCTTTGTTTATTGTGTCATGTTCTCATTGGTTGTCTTAGTCATGTTTCTTGTCTCTCATTGGTTGTTTTTTGTCAGGTGACCCTTATTGTTTGATATATAGCCCTCATGTTGCCATTGTCTCTTGCCTAGTATTGTCCCTGTACCTCTGTTGGTGAGTTCTTGTTTATGCCAAGTCTGTTCATGGCATGCCATGCCAAGTCAAGTCTGCTCAAGTCAAGTCTGTTCATGCCAAGTCAAGTCTTTCTTTGTTTGTTTGGATGTTTGGATTTCACCTTGTTTAAATAAAGCTGCACTTGGGTTCTCACTACGCTCGCCTCCAGTGGAATCTTTACAGTATATCAGTATACGTATTACGTATAAAATCAGACAAATCATATATCAGCAAACCCCTCAGTAAAACCTTCACAATAAAAACCTTCATGGATAGGAATAAAGTGTATGTAAGTGCTGCTTAAGTGTAAAAAAAATAGGTTTAAAAAAAAGTTTTCTTTCCACTAGTTTGCAGCATTACTTTCAGAAAAGCCAAAAAGCCTAAAATCTCAAATTTGGCTGATGCATGAAGAAACACTGTTTTGTCTGTATGTCTTGCCTTAACAATATTTCTTAGGTGGACTCATGCTGTGCAGCAAACTGTCTGGTTTAAACTAAAATACAGAAAACTGACTATTTCTCATGCTGAGAGATAAGCAAATGTATGTGTCTGTGGAAATATCATACATTTTGTAAAAAAAAAAAAAAACCTACACCCACAGCGCTGTATTTATTTTAGCTCCATCAGATGAGGCATGTCACATTCACTTGCCATTTACTGTCACTGTCAGGAACTTTTTTTCTAGAGAAAATACGCCATTTAATGATTTAACTTAGTATAAAGTAATACATTAATACATATATTTATTGGCTTTAATGTTAGTAATGTGTGGTTGATATGTTATATACAATGCCGAATCAATGAACAGCAAAAATAAATAAATAAATATTACTCAGCAGCATATAATGATTTCTTCAGAACCACCATTGGATTGTCTATAGACATAATTAAACATTTCATTAGCTCTTCCATGAAGTAGTGGATATGTTCATTAAATGACATCTAAGCAGTCACACTCAGTCCTGTTATGTGACAAAACCTAAGCTTGTCTCTTGCCAGACTGGATTAGAAAACATCTTGGATCGCCCTTTATGCCCTGGACAGCATGACTAGGATGAGACGTGGGCAGGCTGCTGAGCCTTGAGACCTTGAGAATGAGCCCTCTGTGTATATGTCAGCATTATTTTAGGTCCCTTGACAATTATGATCCAGCACCATGGACAGCAGCGTGACAAAGTCACAAGGAGGGCGAGACACTGAACACCCATTAGCAGTAAGCACAAAAGGAGCACTGACATCCTATTTGGGAGATTAATGAACAAGAAAAAATCTGCCTGTTTCTTTTAGAAATGAAGTCTTTAGCAAACATGAAAAATTTCACCAACATCATCGAAAGAAATAAATAAATAAATAAAATCTATGTTTGATAAATGTGATTTAAATATACAAACAGCAACTAAATCCCAAAGTCAATGCGAGCATCTGTTGTTGTTGCAGTCTCAGGTATTTTGTTGTTGTTCTGTGTCTTTAGTTTCAATTTCTACTGTGAAACAATGGCCCACACTATTGTTGTCACCTTGTGGAACAACTGATTAGTGCAAAACAAATTCAATGCGTGTATGCGTACATACGATTACAAAAATCGGGTGATACGCATAAAGTACTATTCTGGTGACGTCATGCGCACTGTACGCAGAACCTTGCATACACATAAAAACTGAAGTATACTTTAGGAATAACTCTTTCACTTTCCCCTTCACCTATTTAAAAATAGATTCCCCTCTGGGGTGATGAATAGTGTAGAATGCTAGCATTAAAACAGCACCCCCAACAACAGCAAGCCTCTGAGCAGTCGGCAGTCATCAAATGCTGCAAAATATCACAAACTGCAGTCTGCATAGACACCACTTATCAATAAAACTGACTGATCAGGACTGTGTCGAGACATATAGGTTGTTTGCACATGACGTCATTGCTGTGGTGCGAAATGCAGCTGGAGGGCAGGAAGTGATTTTTCTATATAGAAATCACTAGCAGAAACTCAAAATGCCTAAGTTTTGTATTGTTTATCGATGCTCAAATTGGTCAAACCGAGAAATCACAAGGAGCTTTTATCGTGTATCAAAATTTGTTGTTCATAAGGGGGGAAAAGGCAAGAAATTGACTGAAAAATGCAGGAAAAACCTGCGTCTGAGGTCAGCAGGAGCCGAGTCGGATAATGCTTGTGTGTATAATTATATATTAAGATATTAATAAAGAAATATATAAATAGATACAGGGCTGACAACTCTCACGCATTCAGCATGAGAGTTAAGTCTCAAATAGGTTGTTTGCACATGACGTAATTGCTGTGGCTCGAAATGCAGCTGGAGGGCAGGAAGTGATTTTTCTATATAGAAATCACTAGCAGAAACTCAAAATGCCTAAGTTTTGTATTGTTTATCGATGCTCAAATTGGTCAAACCGAGAAATCACAAGGAGCTTTTATCGTGTATCAAAATTTGTTGTTCATAAGGGGGGAAAAGGCAAGAAATTGACTGAAAAACGCAGGAAAAACCTGCGTCTTGAGGTCAGGAGGAGCCAAGTCGGATAATGCTTGTGTGTATAATTATATATTAAGATATTAATAAAGAAATATATAAATAGATACAGGGCTGACAACTCTCACGCATTCAGCATGAGACAGTAAGAATTCACTCAATGCTAAACGCCACACGTAGACACAATGTAAATAAGATATGTTTTATATGTGCAGTTTGGAGAGCTTCATTGATCATAATGGAACATTGTGAGATTGCGATAAATTGAAGTGAGTGACAGCTTTTTAATGATTATATCGAGGCGCTATTTGCTCGCTTTCTAGGCTAAAATCAATTTCAGAATTTGAATAAAAGTTTTGTTTTACGTGCTGGTAACAGGACCAACGGCCACATACCCTGTACATGCAACAAAGTTTCAGGAGTGACATTCCGCATCCCTCATATAAATGTGGGATTCACTTTCAAAATAGCTTGTTTGCAATCAGGGTTAGTTCAGATAAGCAAATGCTTAGCCTATATCCACTGACTCGATGGCAGGCAAGTGTTTCAATTTAGTTGAAAAATATACCCTCTTCATAACATAAGGATCATGTCCAACATATGTTGTGATTTTCTGTTTATACCTTTCTCTTGTAATAGTGTCTAAACCAGTACAGTACAGACTTTCTTCCATCTCATCCATTCTGCTTTTCACTTCCTGCCCTCCATCTGAATTTTGCACGTCATCAGAATCACGTGATTGCAAACAAGCTATTGTCAAGTTATCTCTAGGGCTTTTCACACTGCACTTAAATCAAGTCACCTTTATTTATATAGCGCTTTTAACAATACAGATTGTGTCAAAGCAACTGAACAGCATTAATTAGGAAAATAGTGTGTCAATAATGCAAAATGACAATAGTAAACACTCATTTTTCAGTTAAAGGCAGTTCATCATTGAATTCAGTGATGTCATCATCCAGCTCAGTTCAGTTAAAATAGTATCTTTGCAAT